ACTTATTTATTTGTTCTACTGTTGACAGAAATTTGGATTATTTCTAGATGTTGCCTGTAACAAACGCCATGCGCATTCCTTTATTTCTCGATGCTCATGGTACACATATGCATTTCTCTACAGTATATAAGGATGAATAAAAATGGTGGGTTGTAGAACCCATATATCTACTACTTTAGGAGATAATGTCAGAACGGCTGCATCAGTGTGCACTGTCATCCTCAGGGAATGAGAGTTTGGAACACTCACAATGAGAGTTATCAACACCTGGTATTACCAGCCTATTCTGCTTTGGCCATTCTGGCTAGTGTATGATTTCTGTGGTTTTAATTTTGCATTGCCTTGGTTACTGAGACTGAGTATCTTGTCACAGGTTTACTGGGTACCTGGTAACTTCTTTTGTAAAATGTTCTCGTGCACATTTTCAAAAACCAGATTTTTCATGATACTTGTATGTATTCTTGATAAAAAGACCTCTGTGTACTGTATGTAAACAATCTACATTTTCTCACTGCCTTGCCTTTTCGTTCTCTTCATGGTGTTTTTGATCAATAAAGATTCTTAATTTTACACAACCAAATCAATCCTTCTTTTATGGTTATGCTTCCTCTGGTATCCTTTTTAACATGTCTTTCCCTATTCTAAGTTTGTCCCATGCTTAAAAACCTCAAAGATGCTTCTGCTTTCCTTATTACATGGGCCTCAAACATCCTGTATTTTGGGAAGCGGGAGACTCAACAAAAATTAAAATAAGAATAAGGCAAACAGAGGCTCATCTATAAAGACATTATACATTTGAAAATTACAGTATCAGTAAAAATGTTCCAGTGTAAAGGTTAATTGAAACTATATGGAAGTGGCTCATGACAAGTCTTTAAGCCTGGACTGAAAAATAAAAGTTATTATGTAGATTATGTATAAAAAATTGGTTTTAAACAAGGGTCTTTGGATATGGGTTGCTGGCTGAAATATTTTGTCACCAGAGAGCTTACCTCTATGTGATTAAATTCTCCGAAATTTGTTGATACTTTTTTTGTGGCCCAGCATGTGGTCAATTTCAGTTTTATGTACACAAAGAACTTTTTTTTTTTTTAATATAGAAGAACATATGGGGCACCTGGGTGGCCAGTCAAGTTAAGCGTCTGCCTTCAGCTCAGGTCATGATCCCGGGGTCCCAGGATTGAGTCCCACATTGGGCTCCCTGCTCAGCAAGGAGTCTGCTTCTCCCTCTGCCCTGTCTTTCCTCCCCGCTCATGCTCTCTCTGACAAATAAACAAGTAAAATCTTAAAAAAGAAAAAAAAAGGAACACAGTGTAAAGAATGTTTACTCTGTACTTTAAATGTAGATAACAACACTCTAGTGTACAGAAGGCAGATGGCGCAGATGTTAGATGTAGCTACTAGAAGGGCCTGTTAATCTCTGATTCACTCTACTTCTATGGTCTTGCCTTTTGGGGGCTCAACACAAAGTGACAGGAGCACACTGGATCCTCCCAATTTTTAAGGGCCCTGAACTTTGACTTCTCTGTCCCCCTAGGTCTCTGAGGCATCCTGCTCCACTGTGGAAGTGGCAACTACCACCTGCGGAAAAGCAGTCATAAATGCCAGGCTCACCCTCTTTGAGGATCTGTCTCCAACATTCCCTGGATCTTGAGCCAGGAATTCTTCATTATTTTGTTGGTTCTCAAGTGCTTTCAAGCAGATTTAAAAAATATTTTGCCTAGCATTTGTAGGTGTCTTCAGTGGAAGGGTTGGTCCCAATAATCAGGTCTACTATTATCACAGCACAAGCTTAATTGTCTTGTCTTTTTTTAAACCTCAATTTTAATTTCATTTATGGAAGGTTTCATTATCCAAAAACTCTTTTCTATATATCATCTTAAGACCAGAAAGAAGATTTCCCAAAATGTTTTATATGATACTAATTATGAAAGATGCTTTTTCATGAGGAAAAAAATGAAGGTTTCTATTATGAAATCACTTTGTGTAACCATATGTTACATACTAAGTTTAATGACTCACAAACAAATTAGCATTTTAAAGGCTCCAGTAAGTCCTACAGTGAAGAAAACTGCTTAGTTTTATTTAACACAAGATTTACCAAACATAGATAAATCCTTTTTCTCATACAGTTCCAAGAAACATATCTGGAAAAATAGATTAGAAATCATTCTCATACCTCTTAATATTTTTCCCTCTAAACTTCCCTGGGAATCTTAACTGTTTAATCTTTTCATTCACGAAGAGTCTATCTGGTATAATAATGAGTTTAAACTACTTTTTCCAAACTACTAAACCAAAATGGCATCATTGTTGAAAACAAGCTAAAATATATTATCTGGCTCTTCCTCACAAAAATAACATTTTGAAAATACCCACGGCAGATCATTTATTTTAGGGACAATTTATAGTAAAAACACTTTAAACCCATGTATTTAAAAGTGGGTTTAAACCCACTTCAAACCACATAAATACATGCTTCCAGTTGGTATCTTAATTAAGTGACATAAAAGGTCTACTCAGTTCAATCTAATTCTGTTAAAAAGCAGTTATAATGCACATGCCATTTAGAATACAAGCCACACAAGTAGAGTGAGTTACACGTAGTCTAGGTAAAACTGGCATGTACGAGTACGAGCTAATGAAGAATCAGGACATACAATCTTGATGCGTTATGAGATGCTGAGGTGTACCTTAAGAAGCAGGATTTATCTCTGTTTATACGTAATAATGTAAACAGACCTTTAAATAACTTGCTGAAGGAGCACCTGGGTGGCTCAGTCAGTTAAACGTCTGCCTGTGGGTCAGGTTGTGATGCGGTTCTGGGATTGAGCCCCATGTCCAGCTCCCCAGTCAGCAGGTCAGCAAGGAGGCTCCTTGTTTCTCTCCCTCTGCCTCCTCTCCACCCCCCGCCCCCCCAATTCATGCACATGCTCTCTCTCAAATAAAATCTTTAAGTTTCTCACTAAGCACTTACAATATTTTACTTACTTGAATTTTACGTTTTAATAGAAATACATGTTCACTAATCATGATTATTAACACTATTAACACTAAACACATTAGTTACCTAAGATGGGGGGAAGAAGGGCATGGGAATGGAACAGAGGTGTAAAAGGGATTAATACACAGCATACTGAGATGCTTTGTATGAAGTAATGACGATATGCCATGATCCCAGGAGTAGGATTATGTAGCCTTCTAAACATAAAGGTCACGACAGGGAGAGGAGGCTTATAAAAAAAAGAAAAATTAATTGGAAAAAAAAAAAACAACAAAAGAAAAGGTCAAATTAGGATGATGACAAAGTCTGAGTTTCAAATTACCAAAGGGAGCACAGAAAAACCAAGCAGCAAAGACAGAGTCTAGATTTACAGTTGCATGGCAGATGAGAAAAAATACTGAAAAAGCTTTTAGGAAGTGTGGAAAGTACAAGAAAAAAAAAAACGGGAATTGAAACACTTGGTTCGACAGGAGTTAGAACCGTGTTTACAATATGCCAGAAGGATGAAGAAAAAAAAAAAAAAAAGGAAAGTCAAGGGGAAAACACATTAGAAATCTTCGAAGAGTTAAACTCCATGGTGGGGGGGACTAAATTTGGAAATAAGCCAAGAGGTACTTACAATTAACATTAAATGAAATAGAAATTCTTGATTCTAGCCTTAACTTAGCTAGGAAGTAGACGGCAAAGTAAGATGGGCAGTACTGGGGAGTAAAAGCATATGGGAAAGTTTAACACAAAAAGAGTATGTACATGGGCATGCAAATAACTAAAATGAAGTTTAAATAAACTATAAATATTTGGAAATACACATATAAGTAGAGCAGCCTAATGTATAACTGTTAATACTGTTATGAATTTTCCACAATTAATTATGTTATAAAAGATCCTACAATGGGTCTTATATAATATTCCATCCAAAGCGCAATTAATATGTGGCAGAATTAGGCATTTAACCTACCACTATGTTTTATAACTTGTCTCAGCAATATGTTTCTTTCTCATCACCTTAAGTTATTCAATCATCTGCAAATTTCTTAAGTCAGAAGCTCCGTACATTTTAATAGAAAGAATGGGCTGAATACATACAAGTGTAAATTTCTCTTAGAAGAGATCTGTGTTCAGAAGTCTCCAGGAACACACAGTATCTAAACTCAGGGAGGAAATTCCTGTCCTTTTTTTTTTTTTTTTTTTTTTCAGATACAATGATGATACAATGGTGACAACTATGTTTATCACAGATTAAGAGACCAAGACCACTTAATGTGATGATAATCCAAGGGAATACAGTTATTCTTACAACTCTTTGACATATATGCCATGTTTCTGTAATGCTCAGTTCATACTGTATCTTTGCCAGCACTCTGAGGTTGGGCAGACATATTTACAACATGTGTTTAAACATGCTAGTCATCTTTGGAAAGGATCCTAAAGTAAAAAACAAAACAAAACTAAACCAATTTGGCTACAACTGTGACAAAATGTGGATGTTCTACACATAGCCACCAAAACAATGCTTTAAAGACAAACTTCTTAATAATCTTTGTAACTCTAGAAGCAGGCCCACCATTTCTTTGTTATCGCAACCTCTCCAAAAACATTTCATGCTATTATAAAATATATCGGTCTGCTAATGATCTAACTTTGGTAAGAATAGATGATACAGAAATCTTCTCCTTAAGAAACTGGCTTGATGTAAAAACTGTATGAAGGCAATTTCATCTTTAGCAAAGAACAGTATCTGGAACAGTATCTGGAAGCACTTGAGGAAGCACTCAAGGCCAAGGTACAAAGAACAGAGCAGGGATGTTATTTAAAAATGTTAGGTATTAGTAAAAACACCCCTCAGAAGAAGATTAAGTTTACAAAGGGACATGTCTGCTCTAGTCATATACCCATTTTTCCCTCATCTGGTAGAAGGCCTCATTTGAGGGACAATATTCCCTTTATCTCATATAGGGCAGATGCCTCGAAAGAGAAACAGGAGTAATTCACGCACCCACTGGGCTGCTTCCGGCTCCATTTGGCACTGTGAGGTCTGAAGTGCTCAACATCCCACCTAAAAATTTTAGAGAGAGAACAGAGAGGGCAAAGAATGAACATGAATTGGTTTTCCTTATCTGAACGAAGTAAACTGCACTCCTTTCCTAAAAAACAAAAATAAAAACTAGCTCTAGACTGAATCTGGCCTAACTGTGTAATATGATGTAGTTAAATATATATATAAAAGCTCACCTATCAAGCTCTGGATACAAATGCCTTCCTGTATCAATATCAAAAAGTACATATTCCTAAGAATGGGGTCAGTGCTAACAGAGTACTATTAAATCTGGGACTTAAAGAAGAGGAGACACTGTATTACAAAGAATAAAGTCATAAATGCTGATTTTTGCTGAATTCATGAACTCTAACTCCAGTCAGGTACATCTACTCTCTTATTTTTGACATGAGTGACTCACACTCGAACTTTAAGTCTTTGCTCATGATACCCTAATTAAATTTTCTGCCTGTCAAAGTATGGTTTCCCGTGATAAGGAAAGTTATAGATGGCAGATTCTATATATGGGTCCACTGTATCCAAGAGGATGCCACAGCGCTGCAGTAAATCCTCAAAAATATTCTTTAAAATGGAGTCAATTATGTGGCGGTGACTCTCGCTCATCATAGAAAATTAAAGGTAGCGAAATAAGCAACTGCTTATGTCCACAATTCTTTTTCTTAAAGAACCAGCAGAAGAGAGACCACTACACACCTGTACTGCCGGTACTTGGTGGTCTCTGAGGGACTCCTGGGGATACATTTCTGTGTAGCGTGGCTTGAGGTGGAGACAGCATGCTTGAATCTGCTAATGTTGAGCTGGAGGCCAAAGATGGCGACACAAGTGAACTCCCTGGGTTAGTGTAGGACAAAGCGTTAGGGCTGGTCACAGGGACTGTGACAGACATTGAGAAGTTTTGAGGTGGCAAACCAGGCTGTAAATAAAGAACAAGGAAGAGAAAACTGTTAGTTTCATTTTCATTTATATTAAATTAATAACTTATGAAGTTTAATTTGGATAAGGTAACTCCAGTTATTAAAAGTTGAGGACAGGGATAGTTTCTTACTAAATCAATTGGTAGATTTAAGTTGCTTTCTTCAGAATTACATTTGAACATGAGTATGTCGGACATAAACTTTTCAATTTCCGTTTTATATACGAATACATATACACTACTATAAAAGTATATATATATATTTCAAACAGTCCTAGAGATGAAAATTAGATGTCAGAACCTGATATTAAAGTGGTGTTGTCAGATTTAGACATTACAAAATATATCATTACCAAGTAAGCATAAAATTAGCACTTTAATAATCCAAACCGGTTTAGTAACATTACATTTCTATTGAGAGATTACAAATTTAACAAAAGGAGAAAATATGTACACAAATTATAAATTTAATACACGAAATGTGGGACATTGTAAATCAGCCCTGGTTTGATTTAATTGACTGACATTCTTAATGGACAAAACTTAAAAAAAAAAAATCAAGTCATATATACAACACAATGCAATCTGAGTGTGATGAAATGCAAAGAAACCATCTAAACAATAAAATTAACCACTGAAAACCTTTCTTTAAATTGTATGAAGATTAAGTTATAATTATAAATGCTATCTTACTTCCCTCCTAAGTATTCCACACCCCCTTAAAATAGTATTTTTCATTTCTTCTTGTATTTCCTCCATAGACCAAATACAATATACTTGTTAACCATGAAAATAACAGTTCTCTTTAGAACATCTCCATTATAGAGAAAGAAGAAAGCTTTCTTCTCCCCATATTTTAAAAGTGATTGCAAAGAGTGGTAACACTGCTAATTCAAAGTTGGAAGAATATAGTTTATGTTCTCTATTCAATAGATTATTTCAAAAAGAAAATTATCATTCATTAACTGACATAAAACAATGGCTACATGATAAAATATTTTTTTCAAAGGTAAAGCAATTTTATTTACACAATATTTTGCAGCTTAACATTTACTACAAAGTCACCAGCATCCATGTGAGGTCAGAGGGGATTTTATTTTATTTATTTTTTTAAAGAATAATAAAGGTATTAGCACAAAAATACTTCCTTAAATCTATTTTTCATGAGCTTCTTATAGTAAAGGACTCCTTTGGAGAGATAATCCATGATGTATACTTCAAGGCATAGTTTTTAAGAGAATTAACTCTGAGAATGAGATAAATATCAGCATCGGAACCAATTTGTTCCCTGAAGCCTACAATACAGATGCAGCATTAGAAAATCAGATCCAGAACAGCTGTTTTAATCAGTTCTTGCCAATGAGCTCCCCGTGAGAACTCTTTGAAGAACTATCAAAGAAGGATAACTCAAAAAACTACTGGTTTTCATGATGGATAGATGTATGAGCATAGGAAAATTTTAAACCAAGTATTTGTTTTGCAACCAGTTTAAAAACATTGCTTCCTTAAATTACTATCAAGCCAAGGCTCGCTTCCTCAATACCCACAGTAAAAGAAAAGAAAAGTTTGGAGGTATTTTGCCGAATAGTTTTGGGACATTTACAAAAAACCAAAGAGTAAGCTACTACTATTATAGCAACTATACAAAATAATTAAAAATAATCCTGAAACATCAAATTTTGTAGTAAATCTAACCATTTTATATTTTATAGTCTCAAGATCTACTTACGTACATGTAATGTTTTTTAAGTCATGAGAGGGAAAGGGAAATCTTATATGCACCCTTTGTATTTACGATCATGGAAATTTAGAGCTAGAAGGGACCTTAAAAATTATGTAAGCCAGCTCATTCACTTTACAGATGAAAAAATTGGCATCTGAGAGGGATTTATGTGCCCTGTCCAAAGGTATAGGAGACAGTAAGTAGAGCTTAGATAAGGATGCCTTCTCTTCACTTCCTTGTTTAAGACACTGAACATGTATTATTATAAGACTCCAACAAATTTATTTTGAAGTTCTGTAAAACAAGCAAACAAAAAAAAACCCTAACGAAATTTCTTCCCCTTCTACTTATCCGTATCATCACCCACTGTGAAAATAAACAGGATGCGTAGCCAATGTCTTCATGCACAAGATAAAAGCACAAACCATACTTTAGTACTCACTGCGATTTTATGATTCCGCATCATATTATCAAATTCCTCATTAATTTTTTTATATTTTTCTTCTGTATGTGGAGTTAGCACATAGGAAGTATCAGGGTCTGGGCTGTCGCACCCTCTGTGTTCCTTCTTGTTCAGAGCCTATATAATGAAGTTAACAAAAAGGATCAACAAATAAAAAGTAGAGGTAAAGTAAAAGTACTTACAGGGCCTCGTTTGAAAATAAAATCACTATCTTCATTTAGTTTGCTGAATCTGTCCTCCGAGAGTGGACTGTGCTCAAAGTAATCGTCAGCATCAGGGCTCTCACAACCATTAAGGCCTTTCTTTCTTAAAGTCTGAAATACAATTGGAAAATTCACACACAAATGATACTAACTTGCCATGAGTTTTGTAAAATTTATTAAGAGAGCACAGACTGAATGAATTATTACAAGAGCCACTGAAATGATTTTTAAATGATCACAAATGTACTCTAATCCTCCAAATAAGGTAAACCTTAGATATAAGCAAAATTAACGCTCCCAGTGCACATTAAGAAAAAAAGGAATGTTTACTTGTTTGGATTCTTTCTTCCCAAACTTCCTAGAGAATACTAAATTACTCACAGCTCTGACAGTTACAACCTGAATCTGATTACAGCCTGATCAACACATCTGATAAGGGCCAATGAGTGTGCAAACTGACACAAAAATGTATCAAAATGTTGCTCTGAGAAGCTATCATCGTACCTTTACAAAATGAACATTTCAGCAACTTCATCTACTGAAACTGCTTTCCGCCTGAGTTTATCCTAGCCACCAGAAAGAATTAGCATCCTATCTCAGTAACTTCATTCCTAATTTGTTCTTAAATACTATCATTTTCCTACAAAACTTAGAGGCATAAAAACTCAAATACTTATTTACATATGACAGCTATGACTCTTTTCTATGTAGAATATACATATTATTAGTGACTTTATTAGTGACACTGAACATCTATTGGTGTAAGATTGCAACAAATTTATTTTGAAGTTCTATAAAACAAACAAACAAAAACACCCCACCAATGAAATGTTTCCCCTTCTACTTACTTTTAAAGTTTGTAATAATATGTTAAACAGCATGTATTCACCCCCTTGGCAACCTCTTCCTACAGAGCTCCTTCATGGGTTGACCTAATCCACTGAACTGACTTTCTGGAAAACTTTGTGTCATGAAAGTATCTCCTAGAAAATACGTTCACTTTTTCTTCTTATTTTGAGGTAAAAATATAATGAACAGTTGGTGTTCTGATTTTTAATTTTTTTCACTAAAGTAACCATGAAATGACTTGTCCAATATTTAAAAGAGTAGCTTTACAACCAAGGGCTTAACAATCTGTGGAATACTAATTTATTTCCAGAATGTCTAAATTTTTAAAAACCCCAATGGGTGTTTTTTTAAAGTAGAATTACAGAGTTCAACACTTTAAATAGCTTTGAGACTGGCTGATTTTCTAGTCAACCACTGTGAAGTTTTTGGAAGTTAAAATTTTCCAAGTAAACTGACGAAATTTATTTAATTGGGAAACAAAGTTTGATCAATAAATTAGTACTATATTTGTTAATTTATTGTTAATTTATTCGTTAATGATTATTTAAATTAGATTTAAGATGTACTTTTAATTAATTCATAGTAATCTTGGTATCCTTTAAAATATGATTTACAATTATGAATGCTTATTTTATAAGCACTGAAAGAATGTAAACACACAACAGGTTAAGATAGGAGAATTTTTTTCTTAGTTTCTCTGAAGTCAAATTATTTTAAAATCACTTTAGTCAATTTGATTTTTTCGTGTTTACAGAATCATAAGAAATCCTAAGTGCTGATATGTTAACTTTTCCAATTACTTAGCATGCACTAGGAATCCCGCATATAGTCCCTAAAACCCCCACCGTAACATAATCACTAAACATAAGCATAGAGCAAACACTACATGTACTTCCCCAACACTGGCCCCATGGCTCTACGTTCTATGGATCTAACTAATCACATGAACTTTTATGCGTACTTAGCCATAAAAGGTCCTGTTATTTAGAACTAAGGGATGGAGACCTGTATTCTCCCCTGCTCACTGTAGCAAGTTCTGCTTGCCAAAGCTCTGCAAGTTGCTATCAGCAATGAAGACGTTAACACTCAGAATATTGGAACACAATGAACTCTTATAACCTACACAGCCCTAGAAACAAAACAAATATAGTAAGTGCCTACACAAAGATTTCACCATGAACTTGTTGACTTATTCTAGCCTGAAATCTCCAGATATTTTCCCATCATATTCACGCATCTTAAGACTAGCAAATTCATAGTCATGCTTTCACTAATAGCGACCACCAAGTATGTGCCTCTTTGAAGTCCTTTCAAATTACTGAAGAAAAAGAATATGGCCTTTTTAAGTAATTACACAGAAAGTTTTATTCTACAACAACAGGGTTAACCCTACTTGCACTCATGAAGAATAGTGCTCTGGTATCTCCAGCTCTGCAAGCCTTCACTTCAGATGGGGTTCCTGTCATTGTGAGGGAATTCAAGAGGCTCTATCAGCTCTGGAGATAACAAGCTCATGTACCTCTACTGGATACCCAACTTGCGTCTTCTTATCACCAGAACACGAAGAGTTGTTGTGAGGACCCAACTACCATAAAAAGACTTTTTCTGTCTTCTTTATCGTTACCACATAGCTTAATAGTAAAAGTCTCTCCTGTGTCACAGGTACTAACACATGGAATGCTGTCATCTATTAACAAGCCTAGGTGAGGCATATAAGAAACAGGCTAGCCTCAGTTTTTTCACATGCTTCAGGTTAGCCACAATAAAAACACTTGGTCAACGAAGAAAACAGTCTGAAAGGCTACCAATTTGAGGAATCTGTTTTTAAGTGTATTCCTTAAGAATACTAGCACAGTGCATGGTCTATGGCTATTACGGTTGATTATTATGGTCCATTCTGAAGTAAATGGTACTTCATAAAAAGTACTTTGCTGTTGTACATCAACTGACAGTTTTCAGTGACATTATGGCAAACTTAAAGGGAAAGTTCAATTGTGCCAAAATACTTTCAAGTTTCACGGGTATGTATCATGTAAGTTGACTGACGTTGCTTTTCTTAAATAATTAAGTTATTAATTTAAGCTAACTTGATATAACTTGTTCAGTGTTCTTTTGTACCAGTGTTCTAAACATGTCTAATGATTCCAACTGCAAAGATTACTTAAATGAAATCCTAAAATGAATGCACATATAATTTTCATCAGTGCGTTTCTATAAGAGAAATTTTATTTTTGGAGGGTTAGCTAAACACCTTTTAAAAACAAACATTTCTACTCCTCACAATAGATGTAAACTGTATTATGATTTTAATGGCACTTCTTTTTATATTTTGGGCCAATTCGGTCAAGTACTTTCTGAATACTTTAACATACAGTATAAAATGCAGATTTTAAATAGTCAACGTCCTTAGTTTATATTTACCTTCAGCATTAGTTATCTAAGGACAGATTCTGAAAGCTTTTTAAATGGATCAAAAAAAAAAAAAAAAACCCCCTCCTAAGTGTCTTTATGGAAAACTATGTATTGTTTAGGGCACATCCTTCCATGTCATCCGATTCTACGGGGTTTGTGCCTTTGAGCTATTTAACAACTCTGTAGAGATAGAAGTTAATTTGTTGAAACTGATAATAATGGAAATAATTAATGTCTGTAGACATGCAAATAAATTTTATCTGCTGGTGGTTCAATTGACTTCTGTCCCTCCTGTGGAAGAGGTCAGGTCTTTTATTTTTTTGCACCTATGAAGAAAATTTATTTTGCCTTCTTGATGGGCTCATGTATTTGTCTCATCTTAGGATTTATCTATTAACCACTTGTAATATTTTTTTTTCCAGTTTCCTCAGTCACTAATGAGTTAACATCTTTTTTTTTTTTTTTTTTTTTAAGGTCAGAGAGAGTGTGTGTGAGTGGGGGAGAGGAGCAGAGGGACAGAATTCTCAAGTGGCCTCTGCACTGAGTGCGGAGGCCAATGCAGGGTGATCGCAGGACCCCTGCGATCTTGACGTGAGCCCAAACCCACAGCTGGATGCTTAACAGACTGAGCACTCAGGTGCCCATGAGTTAAAGTCTTTGATTCATGTTCATTTTAGATTCGAGAGTCATGATTTTACTTTTGAAGAGTAATGTTTAACAGTAGAATAAAACTACCCTTGACTTATGATTCACAGTAAATGTAAACTCAAAGGAGCTTCCCAGTAATTCTTGTTAGGATTTAGTATGGACTAAGCATTGGTTTTTAAAAGAAAAAACTAACATGCTGCTAAGTTTTTTTGAAAATATTTGGTTAACTGATTAGTGATTTGTGTTAATTTATTATAGTATCAAAAATTAAGGAGAGATGATCAGAGAAGGCTTGTAACCTTTCAGTATTCTTCTTCAAGAAATAAAAGAATAATCCTTAATTCTTGTGATAATTCATAAATTAAATGCTATTCCTATCACAGTATTAAGAGTACAACAGTCTAAAACAACAAACCCACAATCTTCTGAAGCAGGGTTCCTCTCCATCTGAAGCAAGTGAGTTCTAAGGTGAAATTCAAGCTGCTAGAAGACTGGGTAGTGTTTTACCTATAAGAATTTCCAAGGGAGGGGCACCTGGGTGGCTCAGTTGGTTAAGCGTCTGCCTTCAGCTCAAGTCATGATCCCAGTGTCCTGGGATCAAGCCCTTCAGCGGAGAGCCTGCTTCTCCCCCTCTCTCTCTACCTGAGGCTTACCGGCTTGTGCTTTCTCAAATAAACAAATAAAATCTTAAAAAAAAAAAAAAAAAAAGTCCAAGGGACAAGGGATCCCTATATCACATCCACAGTTTCTGAGCTGGAAATGCCCAAATTAAACTTAAAAGAGAAGGTTTTTTTTTTTTTTTGTATTAATTAAATGAGTTTTAACTAAATGAAGAGGAACTTAAAAACTTCTATCTATTGATTAAAGACCCTACCAACAGGAAGGCTCTGAAATTTAAAACATTTCCATCAATTTAAGGAAAAAACAATGAAAATTATATCTTGGCTAGAACTTTCATTCAGGTTTATCTACCTTTGTTCTTTGACTAAGCTATTTTACAACTCT